GAAATAAATAATTCAATATTGGTCGGATATCGGTCCAGTTCAGGACCAGTGAAGCCTACGCATTTCCGTAATGCCAATATAGGCCCAGATTAGGTGCCCGTGAAGCAACGTTTTTGATCAACATTGCAGCAACATAAATCTTGAAACGTATCTGCAACGTATATGTAACGAATAAGTAGCGATTTGCAACGTAAATGCAATGTTCCTTCGCAACATTTGAGCAACGTTGACGTTTTGGACATTTACACATAGATGCAACATTGTTCATCAATATTTCCTAAACGTTGCTGGAATATCTTGTGCTACTTGGGTATATATACGAGGGTAAGTCAGAAAGTAAGGTTCACATTTTTTCCACCGCCAAACTAACAAACATCTGGTTCTGTGACACCCCTGCATGTTAGTACCAAATAGTGTCACTAAGTGGCAGCAGCCACCACTGTTACAAACCAGTGCTGGTAGGCGCAGAGCCGGAGCAAACATGGTGAAGGTACTGCACATGTATACGAAGCCGGAGATCCGAGCAGTAATTCGGTACAGATGTCCTGTCGGTGCAACAAAGGAGGAAATGGTGCCGTGAGTTCGAAAATGGTCGTGTGACTAGTGGATGAGAACAGAAGTAACGCCCATCGACATCATCCGATGTTGTCGATCAGATCGATGCTGCAGTTCGAGCAGACAGACGTTTGTCTCTTCAGAACTTGAAGCAGTCTTTCAAACTTTCACACGGCTGTGTCTGGCACATTGTGCACGAACGTCTAGGCTATCGGAAAGTCTGCAGCAGATGGGTGCCGAAGCAATTGTCCGACGGCCATAAGCAGGAACGCATGACGGCGTCGCTCGATGACCTTCAGCGATACGCGGAAGAAGGCGACGACTTTTTGTGTCGCATCATCACCGGCGATGAGACATGGGTGCACCACTATACTCCAGAGAGGAAGATGGAATCAACGACATGGAAGCACCCCGGTTCCCCTGTCAGAAAGAAGTTCAAGACAACGCCGAGTGCTGGAAAGGTGATGGCAATCATCTTTTGGGACGTTCACGGGATCACCCTCATCGATTTCACTCCACGTGGTGAGACTGTGAATGCCGCATCGTATCCGTTGACGTTGACACGACTGAAACAAGCGATTCGACAGAAAACCGGCCTGGATTGCTGTCACACGGAGTGCTTCTACTGCACGATAATACCCGCCCGCACACTGCGCGCTCCGCGATGGACCTTCTCAGCACCAGGCGATGGGAAACCTTTCACCACCCACCATGCAATCCAGACCTGGCGCCGTTGGATTTTCAATTGTTTGGGAAGCTGAAGAAGCATCTCCGAGGACAACGATTTCCATCGGGTGACGCCGTCAAAGAGGAAGTCACAAAGTGACTTCAGGAGCAGGACGCGTCCTTCTATCGGCAGGGCTTCGATAAGCTGATCGACCGTTACGACAAAATTCTCAACAAGTCTGGTGAATACGTGGAAAAGTAATAAACGTATGTGGGGACATCTCCTGTATATTGCCTTCGGTGTAATTACCTGCCCTCCAAAGAAATTAAATAGGGAACCTTACTTTCTGACTTACCCTCGTATATCAGAAGGGGTCTTGCTGGCTAACCGAAGTCGCCAGCTCCTCTTCTCCAGAACACGACGAAGCCGTTGTGGTTAATAGCGATGGAATCAAATTTTCTTTTCTTTCTTTCTTCGAATTTTCGAAGAATCTTACGATTCTTCGGTTCTTGCGTGGCGATCGGCAGCGTCCCGAATGGATCGGATTCGAGAGAAGTGATGCACTTAACGGACTTGGGCCTGGGGAAAGGTCGTGAAACCTCGTCATTCCTCTCGAACTGCCTCCAGATGTCGTTGCGATGGTTCTGTAGTTTTACCTTTGTCTGCCAGATGACGTCGGGATCGTCAACATCGAACATCCACTCACAACAGCCTCCATAGGTGAAAATACCAGCCTTCAGCGGCAATAAGTCGGAAGAGAATTTAAGAAATCATTCACCCTAAGCAAGTAATTGCAAGTAAGGCAAAACCACGGATCGAAGGATAAACCAAATTGGAGGCAGATTTGCGAATTGCCATCATCTTGTCTATGATAGCCGCGCCGACCAGCCGCTGATTTAAAATAATGTCAAGATCGAGTATCCTACTGCGTACCCCGTTACAGAGTGGCCTAGTCTCTGACCGGTACAGCGCCGCCCTGGTGGTGAGATCCACAAGCTTTTTGGAGACCTTTGGAAACTCGGCTATCGTAAATCCTGGGATGATGAGGCTGTACCTCATCTGTGCCGAACATGAAGTTTCTAGACAGCCCCGTAATGGAGAAAGGACCTTTTGAAATAGGGAAGTAACTTCATGGACACCCTGTGTATCACTTGCTTGCATGGCTTCAACAGAATAACGAAGCACGATCGCGTGAAAGACACGGCTGAACCCAAAGGCGTCCTATGAGGATCGCTTTCGTTTCTTTTGTCATCTTGCAAAAAGAAAAGAGGTGATTTTCCTGTGAATCCGCTCTGTGAGGACGTGCTCGAGGAACTCGGCTTCACTGCTAACGAATACGAGGTAATCTCTAGTTAGAGAGGAAATTTACAGGGCTTTTCGCTGAGATCGTTTCCCCCCACCCCCACTCGACGAGATCACAAGGTGCAAAACGTTATGTGTTATTATAAATGTGTTATTCCACGATTTTCTCCTGTGAAACTTCTCTTCCCGATTGCACTTGGAATTCCTTCGGACATCGGGGGGAAGGACTGCCACCCGATGGTGGCAACGCCGGTCGAGAGTCAGGCGGTTGCCGTGTCAGAATCTGCCGCTGGTGAAACTTCGCTGTGATGACGAAGCGGACTCTCGGATCTTGGATCTTTGGTTTAGATTTTATCTCAGCCTTTTTGAGAATTTCTTATTCTTTACGATCTTGCTAACGACTGAATCCCCTAAAAGAGCGACAAGGAATTCACACTTGGAGGAAGCACCTCCAACCCCGCAAACCTGTCCTTTAAGCATCGGAAAAAATCAAAGGACAAATCTTCGACTTAACCGGTGAGGAACCGAATGAGCACAGAGGAACCGGACCGAAACGCCATGCCCCGGTATGGGAACGGAAATGGAAAACGGTGTGGAAAAGAGAAGAGAAAATGGTTTCCTTTCCCCAACTCGAAAAAACGGAGAAAAACAGAAATTCCACCTCCCACAGCGAGGCCGGCTGCCCCGTCTGCGGCCGCTGGGCGACTGAAAAGAAAGGCGAACGAGTCGGGATGGCGCGAGGACTTGAGCATGTCCTCCAGAGGTCGCTGAGGCCTGCTTGCTATAAGAGACAGAGAGACAGAGAGACAGAGCCTGGCCAACTGCAGTCTCTATTTTTAAGGAATTTGATTGGCTGCCCCGCCTGGGCGCCATTTTGATTCCAGGAGCCCGGCATCGGCCATATGGGAAGGGTCAGTCCCTTGGGCTATTTTGGTGATAATGCCCTGCCGTATGACTGTTGGATGTTCCAACAGGAGTGAGACTAGATATAGAGTGCTTCCCTTCCTGTCAAAGAGGAATCGTCGGGCCATTTGGGCTGCTAAGGTGAAAAGGCTGAACTGGACACCGACAGCGAATTCATAGCTCTGTCATGTCAATTGTCTGGTCTAAAAAAATTATAGGTAGATAAAGTTTGTCACGTAAAGAAACTCCCCCTCACTTCAGAGTATGCTAAAATTATATAGACCCGTGATGTACGTCTCTGCTGCTTACCGCTATTTTTTTAAATACCTATAGGAGGCCAAGATTCACTTGCGCTTTCGCCCATCAAAATTACTTCCCAATTTTTTTTTGCGTTCTCCCAAAATCTGGCCCATACTCATATCTGACAAAAAAATTTAATCTTCATTTATCACCCATTCCACACCAATCAGGTCCAGATCTGGATGAATTTAAGTACTTGAATAGACCAAACACGCACAGATGAGATGGATGGGTTGATGACATCACAAACCCTGTCCAAGTAGGCCCAGGCATATTTTAAGGGCCTGGCCTGATATGGGCCTGTAAGTTTTGGATGCATTACTGGTAGGCCAACGATCAACATTTCGGAGCTCATTTTCTAACGACCAACTTGCAAACATCGACTTCTCTTCTTTTCCTCTTCCCCCGTGGATGAATGGCATATATGGAGATCATCTGGCTGATCAGAATGTGTACAGGGATTAGCTTTAGTCATCCGCTAGTATGTTGGGATTTTTTTCTTGTATATTAGGAATGTCTGAAATGTCAGTCGAAGTGCAAGAAAGGCATTTGAGAGCAATAGATTATAATCAGTGATGTTTGGGAGCGTATCTGATCATTTGGTAACGCATATGCGCATTCAGATCTGTGCCTGTTGCCAGGGAATTGAAGGGATCCATGCGAGAAAGAACTGGGAGACCGAATGCGGAGGAATCAAAATGGCTCCCAATGCGGGAATCGGCCAGACCCCGTCTCTCTGTGGCAGTGGTCGGCAACTGGCGACCCGACACCGAACTTCTGCGGGCCAGATCCGGCCCGCAGAAGTTCTTCCTCTCGCCCGCGAAGGTCCGATTATCGCACATAACTGTCTGATAGTCGCCGTTCGGCTGGACGTTTGACATTAGACATTCAGTAAAATAAAAATTGTAATGACACTTGGGTGTTGGCCCGCGAACGTACACCATTTGGTCATCCGGCCCCCGTGAACTTTAGTTGCCGAACACTGCTCTAGGGGCTCTACTTGCTATCGCGCGCATGACGTCATCGCCGAGCGTTTCGCGTAGGCGTATCGGCTCTGCTCGGGCAGTGTCACACGGCCGCGGTCGGGTGTTTCCGTGTTCCCGGCGATTTCTCCAGTTTTTACCCGCCGATCTATTCGATCCGCATCGTTTTGGAAACTCGGAGCGTCTATGAGGAATCCCCCGCGTCGACGTTCGCTTCCCCGAGGCCGCATCGCAGCCCGAAGTTTCTGGGTTTCACCCGGTTTCATGCGGGTTGCATCAGGGGAATCGCCATGGAGGTTTCAGAGCATTGCCCGAGTGGAACGCAATCTCTCGCCTCTCGCCCGTCGGTCTCCCTTCGCACTTCCTTCGAGTCGGTGTCGTTTCTTCGCGTCGTGACGGTCGTGCCGTGCGAAAACCATGGCGTGGTCCATGATGGATCTCATCAGCAGCTTTCAATCCAGGTAAGGGAATTCATTTCCCTGGCGCACTTTCCTTAACGAAAGTGGACGGTGAGGTTCTCGAAGGTCGAAAGTTGAAGGTTAAGGGTCCAAGTTTTAAGTCAGGAGGCAGAAAGGCTCGAATAAGGGATCCACTGATTTGTTTTGTCGTGCGGATTTCCGAGTCTCTTCCTTCCTTGCCCACAGATGTATACATCCTTTTTTTTCTTGGTTCTTCATTAAGACGTGTGACCTCTACTTGAAGCCATTCGTGGGTGGGAGTAAATATTCGCCAAATGTGTTCACTGCTCAGAGATTCCGTAACTTGTCACGAAGCTAGGATCTAAATCTAAGAAAATCTGTCATGGAGCATTCTGTTCAAACTTTCTCTTCCGGCGATAAGCAGAAAAATAGACCGTGCGAGAAATTTCGTCTGCGGACTCATCGTGCTATTCGCAAGCCGAGTTCGGTTTTGAAAAAGACGTAGAAGAAGGGATCGATGTTCATTGCATCATTTCAATGAGGTGATAAGAGCGCAGTCCCTCTCTAACGTAAGGGGCCAGCTTCCATCCCTTCCTTGAAGCTCACTTTCCGGCCGCTTTCCCCTCTTTTCAGCCGGGATGATTCGAGAGAGACCGACCTCCTCGACCGCGACCATCCTCGATGAAGCTCCCGCCTCCAGTCCTCATCGTCCTCCTCGCATTCTCCCTCTTCCTGGTCGGTTTCACTCTGGGTTCTCCTCCCTTCGCATCCGGGATTGTTCGGCTCCGACGCCTCGCTTTCTGTCGGGGGAATTTATCTAACTGCGTGGAAGAGAATGGAAATAGGTAGAAGACGGTCGACTTCCGGTACGGAATAAATAGATAATAATTTAAAATAAATTCCGCCGCCGTTTAAGGACGGTAGGTCGAGGCTGTGCGATCGGTCGTTGGGTGTCAAGGTCATTGGATATAAAGATCGTTTTGGTATCGAGTGATGCAATTCATGGGTTTCTCGGGGCAAATAATCACCGGTAGTTGATTGGAATGTATTCCCTTCGAATGCACCCGCATGTTCTTTATATATACAAGGCGGCCGATAATTCTATACCAAAGTTCTAGTGAAAGAAACATTTTTATCACTATTAAAATCAAGATTCGTGTTTAAATGCACCATCGTTCGTCAGCCATCTCACCGACGATCGTTTCTCATACCCAAGTCGATGCAGTCTGGAACCGAAACGAGCAGGCAATTTCCGGCATTAGAAACCCAGAAACTCACTGCCGCCGGTGTTGCATTCGTTTCTATACTCTGCCCCTGCAGGTCCCGTGCTCGGATTCGCGAGCGGAGCCAGAGGCAGAGGTGCTGTGTCGACGGCTCTTCAACCGAGCTCGCGGGCGGAGCGACCACCCCGAGGCTTACGACGACTGCGGTCTGTGTTTGCCAGGGTTCGTTTTCGAATCGTTGAATCGTTGCGCGCACTCGCAGTGAGTTCCATAAGGTACAATATCCCTTACATTTTAGGTACGTTGCAGAATCTTGGGGCGTGGACCGAGAATCGGAGGTCTGTTCCAAGTCGTCGGAAGGAAAAGAAAAGAAAGCGGAAGTCCCCGCGCTCGCCATCGCCGTCGGCTGCGTCATCTTTCTCGTCCTGCTCGTCTTCCTCGTCCGACGCTGTGAGTTCCTTATAGTTGCCGAGAGTCGGGATTTCATCGTTTCGCAGGTGGTGGGGGTTAGTAATTACTTGTTGAATTTTTTATTTTTAATCATTTTATTTAGAAGAAGGGAGGCACTTTGATATCGAAATGCTGAGATGAAGCGATTGCATACTGCGAGTATTCAAATATTGCAATATGGCATTTAGCAGGAATCTACTTGGAATACTTAAATATGGGAAAATTTCGAGAACTACATCCGAGGTTTTATCCTTCTCTGGAAAAAACTGCTCCGACGTACCATTTTCCTTTTTCTCGCGAAAAAAATCAATTTTGCAGGAATGGTGGAAGTCACCTTTGCATGAAATAATGACGTCATAAGTGCTATTGTATAGAAATCGACTATTACAATTATAGTGTCCAAGGGCTCGATACAATCGGAGCACGAGGACAAGAGTTATAGGTGAAAATATGGGTTAGGAAATGATTAAGCTGCCGCTCTGCCATCTGGCATTTACTCATACAACTAAGGTTGTGGCAGGAGAAGAGAGATGGCGAATGAATCGCCATCGTTGTGAGTCATCCCCGGTGAGTGCAAGAACCGATGATGGAAGATCCCACATCAGCTCCGTGGAAGCAAAAGCGTGGTATGGCTGGAAAGAGGGGAGAGGAGGAAGGGGGGGGGGGGGGAGGAGGGAAGGGAACTCTGGGATACTGTTATGCATTTCTGGGTCTTTTCCTTCTTTTATTTGCCTTTTTTTCTTGAAAAGTGGGGGGACACGTGCCTGAGAATTTTCGATTTTTCTGGGGTATTTTTGATGCCGAGAAAAGATGTGGCTAAGCTTGTGCAAGAGTAAAATATCGTACATAGTTTGAGTTCTAATTTCTTTCGCTCCGGTTTGCCCCGACTCTGAATGCGTCTAGAGCTAAAACCCTTTTTCAAACTAATTTACTCGATATTGGTGACAGTGAGGAGACGGAATCGCAGCCGGAAGCTGTCGGAAACTCGGGAGCCTGACCCAAGCCCCGAAGACGGAAGAGGTGCGTGCGAGCACCAGCCCGAAGGAGCACGGCTCGAAGGAGCACGGCTCGGTCTCCTTGCAGATTTCGGCTGCCCCCCTCCCTCTCCCCGGTCCCCCCCCCCTGCCCCCTTCCCCTTCACGCCTCCCCCCCCCCCCCTACCCCCCCTACCCCCCCTTCCTACTCAAATCCTGCGTACGCCACTAGGTTTGGTAAGACCACGAACACAGGTCCTCAAAATAAGTTTTTTTTTTAAGGTCAATTTAATTGTACGATTGCCAATGGATTTGAAATTGAGATTCCCTAATCACGCAATAAATATTTTTGTTTCTTTGTAATCTGAGAAATATTGCTTTTCCTCCTTCCACATCCTTGGGCCAGTCAGGAGAAGGCGTGTCTGGCTAGCAACCTGACTCTGGAAGAGATGGAAAGGAACACGTGTGACCATCTCCTTATTCACACCTTCACCTGTAGGTATTCCTAGACAAAGCGAAGAAAAGCCGAATATTTGCAAAAGCACGATGCAGGTGTCCAGGTCGCATCAAGATGCCACCCAGGAACTGGAAAGTCCTGATTGAATTTATGAAGACACGCTTATGAAGCACATTATCCCTTAAACAGAAGCTATCGTCGAGCAAGCGGGTAGAACCGAACCAAGAGACGGCACCGAAGAAGACACGAAGCAACCCCCTCCTCGAACACGACAGAAATTTCTCCGTCTTCTCCACGTTTCTGGACGGTCTCGTCGCGACTGATCGACGCCACCTGGCGGAAAAGTCCGAGACCCGAACCTCTTTCTGATGGTTTCTCCATGGTGACGCTGTGACATGCGTCCCGTTCGCGGGGACTCGCTTCTTTCGTGGTATTCGAGATACGATCGTGGGCAAGGGTGGCTGAAGAAGCACACTGCGAGGCTATCCGCCGCCGATTCTGCTTCCTTCAGCCCCGATCGAAGAAACGCCAGGATTTTAATATCTCGTTCGCAGGGCGCCGATATCCGAAGGACCCACACCTTCCACTGAGACGGCTGAAAACTCGCACGAGACCGATCTCGACACCCACTGGAGGTGAAAATGAACTTTCCCATCGGTCGATCAACCGAGAAGCAAACGACTGAATAAGCACGTGCATTGCATCGTATACGACTCCTGCCTTCTTTGTGCATCGTGTACTGTGTAGCATTTACAGCAAATTCTAAAGTTACTTCACTGCCAATCTGCCAGTTCATTCTAAGCCTCCTTCCATCTTCGCCCATTTCATGAGAAAGAGTCAATTATTGTTCTTCCCCTTATGAAGGGCCTCTGGTCCCCTTTCCCAAAGTTGTCCTCGATCGTCGAAGTTTTCCCTTAGACCCCTTCCATGCATGAATCAACCGGCGTTTGTCCCTCCGTTTGTTCGACGGAGACCTGCACGGGTGGATTATCCACACCCGACTCAAAACTCGGTCGTCGAAGGAGCCTCACGGGCCCGACCCTCGGATCCGATCGGATCGTCCCAGCCAGCCCGCAGCCCGTTCAGGCCTCTAATCCCTCCTTCTCTCTCGCCCTCGCCCGATCCGCGTCCCGTGCAGGGCTCGAGGTCTATCATCCCAAAAGGAATCAAAGATTTTTCATTTCAAACCCTCGTGCGTTCCAAATGCGAACGGTGAGTCTCAACTGATATATAAGGCATAATCTCGCTGAAGATTTTCGCATAGGAAAAACGGCGGGTCTTCGACTATGGACATCACCCCTCAATCTTCATCGGATGCCAGGGCGTTCCAAATTCAGACGAGACGGCCTCATTCGAATGCACCAGGGCGGAACTCGTCAAAAACTTGCATACGTGCTACCGAGGGTTCCCTCATGACGAAATGCGTTTCTTCTCATCGATCTAGGGTGAGACTCTTTCGAATTCGCACGATGTGTCTCATTTATGAGACGGAAATAGCCTAAATTAGGACTTGAGTTTTTTACGTGTGGCACCTTTCCTTCATCGCCGTCGAGACTCCCGTAGTCATCGTCGGATATCATGAATCGAATGAAAGAGGATGAAGAGAACATTTCGACGATACCGAAGAAGCCACAGTCGCGGCACGGAATTTAGAGCATTAAACGGGAAAAGAAATGGGTTCATGCCCTCGAGAAGCTCGTGGCATCGTCAGCTCTTTTTCTCTTCATCGCCGTTGTTGTCGCGGCCACGTTATCTTTCAGACAAGTCGCAAACACGGACTGAAGCTATCCGATCTCGGGCCTGCAATTCAGACCTTGCGCGATTCCATGCAGCCCGACGACCGGAAGTCTCGAGTTTGCACTGCAAGGGCCCGCCATCTCCGCCTTCCAAACTCCCGCATCCCTCGAAATCCCGGACGCGAAACGTCTTGGAAGCCATCTCTTCGCGGACGACGACGTTCGACGACGACGCGACTTCTGCACGAAGCCAAATTTTACGAGGAAACGCAACCCTTTTTGGGTTCTGCACGACCGCGCCTCGACTCGTCCACGCCCAGCGGCCTCCCGAGATCCGAGCCTCAAAGCAGAATTGTGCGAAACGAGAGGTCGAACGGCTCTCCTCCGAAGGAGGGGCCTCCACCGCAAGGCCACCGGGAACCACGCTCCTCATTGGCGGAGAAGAGCGTGACGTCACGAGCTCATCGCGGAGATACGCCCGGAATGACACGTCCTTACATGTCGCGGGTCATCCGAAGTCTGCGCAGTCTGCTCCGAGTCCGAGGATGTCAAGTACTTGTGAAATCCCAGAGTTCGTCAAGTCTTTTCCCCGCACCATTCCCGAAGTGAAAGAAGGCTTTTCTTCCGAAACGCCAGGTCCTCCGTGAAGTGAGTTCCCTTCCCCTTTCATTTTCTGGCCAAATCACGAGGAATGGCATGGCCGTGGGGAGTCCTTTGACCTTTGGAGACCCCCTTGCCTTTACAGCCTTTAAACACAGCAGCTACGCAGACATTTTGGCCGAGAATGAACGCGCCGACGACGAATCTTGCTCGTCTTCTCATCGCATTCCTCCTCGTGAGTGTCTTTCCCTCTTTTTTTTATATTTATGATGATGTACGAAGACAGTGAATGAAAACGGAAGGACCAGCTAGCAACAGGGGCTCCTCTTATCAATACGTCACATGGCGTGATTTCTTTTATGGGAGGTATTTCCTCCTATCTCGCCGTGACTCATTAAACAAGCACGATGGGATCCAAACTGCGTTTTTCGATGATTCCTCGTGATCGTCTCTTGCCATACGCGTTGGACTGTTTGCTTAATTATCTTCGAGCCTAATGACGGCTTTCTGAATTTTCTTCGGACTAAAACATTGCGAAACGGTAACGTAACGAAGGCCGAAATCGGACGCGTTGGAATAAAACATTAAATAGGGTAAAACTATTTCAAGTTTGGACATCACAAAATAGATTGTTCTAAAACAAAGAATTTGTTCACCCTCAGAAGCAGCTCTTCCAAGCTGCGAAGAATTGTTTCTGAAAGAGAGCTCACCAGTGCTTGGTTTTGTAACGATGTACGTGATAGTATCAGAACTTAGGGACTGTCCGAACTAAGATGGTTTTATATGGGTTACCGTTGTTTCGGACTGCTAAAAAGAGGACGCTTTCAAGTCAGAAGAAAATTGAAAGGCAAAAACAGTGGGTGTGTCCGGGGGAAATATCCGGAAGTATCCGACCCCAAATTTCAACCCAAACGCGCGTGGAGTTTGAAGACTTGTCGATGGCATGACGGAATCGTCACTTGAATGTTTTTGTCTCCTTTTATTGTTAGCGACATTCGGGACCATAAAGTCCCACTGACGCAATTTCGATGAACGCAGACGACTGCGCTGATCCGATAACCCTGCACAACTGCGTAGCACAAAGATAAGGACGGACGGCGCATCGGGCCCGAGAGCGAACGACGTCTCTCGACCGTCCCTTCCTTCCCCTCATCTCCCGTTCCCCCCATCCCCCGTTCTCCTCATCCTCCGTTCCCCCCATCCCCCGTTCTCCTCATCCTCCGTTCCCCTCATCCTCCGTTCCCCCCATCCCCCGTTCCGCTCATCCCCCGTTCCCCCCATCCCCTGTTCCCCCCATCCTCTCCCCTCGTCCTTCGGGTCGTAGCGGGCCATGGGAACAGGCGGCGTTCTGCTTCTCCCGCTCGGCGATCTTGGGAACCGTCTTCCGAATGCAAGTAATGTTTACCCAAAAATATTGCGATGAAGAATTTTACTCTCTCCGCGGTCTGTCGTGAGGAAATTCGCCGGAGGAGAAAGGGTGTCCGTCTCTGCCATTCACAGAGCAGTGCAATAAGGAGAGCCCACCGCGAAATGCAACGAAGTGTAAACTGTAGGTTTACATCGGTAAAAATGGAACAATATCGGTGAACTTAGATTGGGACCTCCGTTAACTTCGATTGCCTGCGATTATATACCCATATAAATGCCTCGCCGTATATGTTAACGTAAGTTAACCTGTATCGACATAGTTCTATTTTCATCTTTGTTGCACTTTTTTTTAGGTAGTGATGAAAGCCTAACTGGAGAGAAAGAATCTATTGGGTTGTTAAGAAAGTCTTTGGAGTTTCTTTCAAATTTTGGCCATGCCCTTCGGCATTTTAGAAAAGTTTGAAAATTAAGCATGTATATAAAGGGCTCACTAATGCACCCTCACATAGTTTTCACTCCATCTTTGGTGAGCTCTGGACAGAGAAAATGGAAGAAAAGCGCGTGCACATCCGACACTGCCTGCTCTTCGACTTCGACCTGGGCATCTCTGCTACTCAGGCGCCCCGTCATCTATGCCAGACGGAAGGCCGTGACGCCCCCTCCCTCAACACCTGCCACTACTGGTACAGTCGCTTCCGCTCCGGCGACAGGAGCCTCGAGGACCGACCCAGGTCAGGACGTCCCACCTAGGTGGACTTAGACGCTCTGCGCAGCCTGGTGGAGGCTGACCAGAGAGCAACCACGCGCAGTCTGGCCGCCACTATCCACTGCTCCAACGCTGCCATCAACAATCATCTCAACTCTATCGGCAAGGTTCTCAAGATGGGAAATTGGGTGCCCCACACTTTGACCCAGTGGGACCTTGATGCCCTGTCTGAACCCTGCACCCATCTCCTCTCGCGGAGGCACAGCTTCGACTGGCTTGACCACTCGTACTCCCCCGACTTAGCCCCCTCAGACTATCATCTCTTCTGCTCCCTCCAGAACCACCTGCAAGGGAAGCACTTTGATACCCAGAACGTGCTCGAAACTGACCTGAAGCACTTCTTCAGGGCCAAGCCTCCGGCGTTCTACAGGAAGGACATCCACTCCCCGCCCGAAAGGTGGAGGAAGGTTGTGGGCAACGATGGTGCTTACATTGTGGATTGATCTTGTTTTTATGAAGAATAAAGGGAGAATGAACAAAAATGAAAAAAAAAACCAAAGACTTTCTTAACAACCCAATACAATTAAAGCTAGCTATTTGCCGTGACAAAGTCTGGATCGGTGATCGCCATTTATTGGCCTTTCGCTATGTCCAGCTGGACGAAGTGTTTTCTCTCTTTCGACTCAATCGAGGATCATTTTCTCGTCTCTGTTCTGAATGCAGCCAATGTTAGTTACCGTATTAGTCGCCGTAGTTACCTTGCGGTGATTGCGTCTGGGCGAGTCCTGTGCTCCATTATATCTGTCGCGAATGAATCCGTCGGCGAGGTACTTATACATTCATTAAAAACCGTATTTGAGGGCACGTCCCATGCGCCCACTCGGTGACCGAAAAGGGGCCGATGCAACCGTTGATCGATCGAATATTTCCCTCTTCTATAGTGGAGTATTGAGGACCAGAAGCGATCTTCCTCTGCAGCCGAGAGATACTTTGCAATGGTGGTTGTTTCTGCAGCTGGGGCTGGTGGCAGCAGGAGGAGGATGCATCCGTGCCGAGGAATTCTGTAAGACGTTTAACCGAAAACCGGGTGGAATCCCCTGTCCGTCTTCCCATCTGGAATGCGGGTCCTGCTTGGACGGGTGAGGAGGCTCCGTCGCTTCTCCGATCTCGTGCGACGGGCGAATCGCGACGAACGATCTCGCGTTCCTCTGTTTCTCAGGTACTCGGCCGAGGAGTGGTCGGGAGGGAGAGTGGCGGACGTGTGTCGATCGATCCGGACCGCGTTCGAGCTGGATCAGGACGATCCCCATCGTCTGGATCCCGGTGATCCCGATCGCTTGGATTCCGGTGATCCCGATCGCCTGGATCCCGGAGAGACCCCGACGCAACCCCAAGGGAGCTCGAACCTCGTGAACATCCTGGTCCCGATCGCCGTCATCTGCTTTGTTCTCATCGCAGTCGGACTGTGTCAGTGATATCATCTTTTTAGAGTTTGTATGTGCGACAGGGATTCTCACCATCGTTTGCCAGAGCTGTAATCATCGCACTTATTGCTTGCATTTAACGGCAATGTTCATCAATTTTTTTTTTTTTTACGTTGGTGTCAGCTATTTTTTTTCTTCAGCATTCATTTCATTTCTCCGCGTTCACTTGTACTCGTTTTCTAACTTTTCGAGGTTTCAAGACCTCCACTGCAGCCTGCTTGGCTCTTCGGGATTTTCTCGGCGAAATCGATGACCGACGATATGATTTCAGGGTTCAGGAGGAGGAAGAAGCCTCTTCCGCTAGACGCGGAAAGAAACGGGGAATCGGAGGAAGACCCCATTTTCCGCGGTTCCCTCACGTCCACGTCCACGGTCCGCTTCGATAAGAGGACCCCGGCCGTCTTCGCCTTCCCCCGAGGCAGGCCTCAACTGTCCCATCGAGGTGGGCTTAAAATTAAACTCATTCTTGAGGGAATATTTTCCAACGTGGGATTTTCGCCCTTGCTCACGTGCTTGCCGATGAAATTCATGGCAACAATTTTAGGTGTGAAGAAGGGATGAAGGGGGGAGGCTCAACAATGCTTATGTAAGCACAGGCTTTTTAAAAATACGAAATCAGGGGTATACATTAAATTGCAATAACCTCGGGATGGCTGGATGATTTTGCCTCATTTTCAGGGTAGTGCCTGACAACATTTTAGGTTTAGGTTTTAGGTTTTATTTAAAGGTGGCATCGGATTCACGTCAACGGGTTTTCTCCCAAACTTCTGCATGGCTTCAAGAACCTGTGGCTTGCAGGGGCCGTTACACTGCCCCCGTTTTTGTGCCGTTCGGGAGACCGTAAAACCAAGCAATAGACAAGATGGCAACAGCATAACATGCTGCGTCGGTTTACTGCTACAGGGCAGGGATTATTCATTAGGATTGCCGTATGAGCCTTCCACACGGAAACGGGATTGCACACTGGTCTCTGCAAGTCGGAGGCTCTGGAAATTCTCATCTGGAGGTTTGAGAGAGTAGGGAACTTCCAGGATGTCAGGGGCCTGGTTCACCTGTCACAACAGTGGGCATGGCCCTAACCCCACCTGGAGAAAAGCATGCTGTTTGACACTACCATTCTGGAGATGTGATATCACCGTGCATTACGCAATTTTGTGTAACGGAATGCGACTTCTCCTATCTACGCCTTATGTAATCGATCACGAGTGGGACGATAAATGTTGGTGGAAATGTGTCAACATTCCATTTCATATGACAGAACTAGCTATCACTCTGAAAAATGAGTTTATAAGAATGACCGTATCATCCCTTACTTTCGCAGTAAGTTTTTCACTGTAACAAAATGGGGAAAATTGCTTCCTCTCTGAAATTTAGCTACCTGTGCCGGTCGAGAACAGGTTGCATGGAAATTATTGTCATATTTTATTCTAGGAAATAAGACGCTTCCGAATGGAGAAGTAGAAGGAAGAGGAGGGGGAGGAGGAGGAGAAGGAGGAGGGGGAGGAGGAGGAGAAGGAGGAGGGGGAGGAGGTGGAGGAGGAGGAAGCGTTCGGGAGATGTCGTTGACGCATCAGGAAATTATTTCCTGTGAGGCTGAGAGACTTCTGCAAGCCACTCCAAATAATTGGGAACACTTCAAGAACAATCCTTGTTCTGCATTCCAGTAAGCAATGCCGTCGAAGGGAGCTTTCCCGATTTGAAACTCATGGATGGTGATTGGAATGAAGAAACAAATCCGGAATTCGTTCGTCTCTTTTCAGTTATGCGCCAGGGATCGAAACCAGAAATGAGAGGATGACACCTTCTCCAACCCCCTCTACCGACTCTTCCTCCATCTCCACGACATCAACCACCTGGTCACCACCTCATCCGTCGACTGGTTCTTCCCCCTCCTGGTCGCAACCAGAGCAACCCTCAACTCAATCACCCTCGCTCCCTCTCTGCATCCTTCCACCTTCTCCACTTGCACCAGTGACACCCTTAACCCAGTCACCCTCCGCTCGCCCTTCACCAACCCCTCCACCCTCCACTCCAAGTCACTCTCCTCGTCCCTCCCGTTCTGCATCCTCATCGTCCTCGAATCGATCACCATCTCCTCCACCACCAGGACCCCCACCAGAGGGAGGATCAGGATCGGGGAGGCAGTGGAAACGGACCACGTCGGTGGAGCACGTCCAGGAGATTCTATCCGTGTTTATCTCGGGTCACCTCTTCAGGTCTCTCTCATCACGTAATCATCATCGCGAAGAGGCTGGCCGTGATCCGTAACAGTGGCATTAATTTCGATCCTGGTCATGTATTACTCCAATTTATTTTCCTTCCTTCTGAGATGCCAATTTCGCAGATGTCGATTCTGATGTATATATTCTCTCTTGTCCTCTATGTTCTAAATTGATCCTGCCGATAGTTAATGAATTTGCTCAATGATTCTTACTGTTTGTTCTTTTTTTTTTTCAATGTCCACCTCTCATACTCAATCGGGTCTCAGTTGAAACCATGCGGAGGATCGTCCTCCTCTGTCCCCGGTCCCTGGCAACAGATTCGGACGGAATTCTAAGCCCCGAGCGATTCACACCTTGGTCGTTCCTCCTTGTACAAGGCTTACCGACTTCTACCGATCATCTTGGATTGAGAGCTTCTTTTTGGGATTCTCTCGGGGGACATGCGTCAGAGGTGCCAGAATTTTACTCTCCAAATATTTAAAAACTCGACCATGTGGTTCTCACTTGTTGCGGCACCTTGCATCCCAGGCAGCACACCACGTTGGGCCTACGTTGGCTGCGAGTGGGGGAGCGTTGGCCCACATCGCAGTGGGCTACCCATGTAGGCCCCACATCGGCGATAGGGCGGCAGCCAAAAATTGTCCTACCTCTGGGCGAGACATCCATATCAGCTATTTGAACAAAAAGTTTTCCACATTTGAAGCGAGATGGCGCCTATGTGGCCGCTATTTCAGTGGTATCAGGAAGAGTCACGTGATGAGATCCCAGTACTTTTCATGCAGCACTCGAACTTTTCCCACAGAGAACGTATGGGAAGAGGCTGGAATTCCTCTATTCACAAGTTTAAACAAGCGTGACCTTTTTCACTAACGTTTGGGAACGTGCGCGATGGGTTGCGATGTGAGAAGCGCGAGGCTGCCAATAAAAGTCCACATGCCACCTTGTTCTACGATGCGACGATTCAAGTCAGCGTCTTCATCTTTGGGCTGCCCTTCACTCGGTATCAGTTCCTCGTCCGCCCTTTGCCATCACGATTAACGAAGAGCAGGGGCAGACCGAGAAATTGGATCTGCTTTTCCTGTGCCGCATCTTATCACGTGGCCAGCCAGCGGCAGATATAGGGGCAGAGGAGGACGATCCTCCGCATGGTTTCAACTGAGACCCGATTGAGTATGAGAGGTGGACATTGAAAAAAAAAAG